AAACCTGTGCCACCTTAGACCTCAGTTATCCAGGAATTAGTTACCCAGACTCTGGAAGCTCACTAGATTTTCAATAAAGACACCATGTATTTCCTCTCCAAAACAACAGTGAATTTTCAGGGATTTGGCAAGGGATCCCTAGGGATTGATTCTAAAATCCCTATGTTCCCTGAGGTTTTTGGAAAACAAACAAACAAGAACTACTTTGTTTAGCAAGCATGCAAAGTGTCTGGTTTGTTCATCAAATCAAAAGCTCGGAGCCAACCCTGAAAACAGAAAATTTGGCTCTGAAAACATGAACAGCTCCTTTAAATCTGCTTTAATTAGAACAGAGAGAAAGGAAAGAAACCTATTTAAAGAAAAACTTGCTTCTGAAAAGGGCTAGCAGCTTCTGAACAAAACTCCTTTATGTTACTGCTGTCTCCCTAGTGTGCAGATATATCTAAAAATAAGAGCTCAAGCTTTTATTAACTGGACAGATTCCGTATGTCCTGCTGGAGGAGGATTTGTTTTGATTATTGATCTGAGAGCAGGTTATGTGCCTCTGTCCAGCCCAGGGATGTGAAATGACTTGGTGTTCTAAATTACCCACCTAATCTCAGAAGTACATTGTTAGTTTTTCCTCTTTTTAGAGCATAGAAGGTTTTTATCTAAAATATCTCATCCAAACACACACACACACATCTTCCTAAAGTTGAAAGCCAACCCATTGCATTTTAAAATAAACCTGTGTTATTCTCCTGTATACATTGGAAAGTCAGGCAAGGGAAGACTCATCCTTCAAGGTGACCTGCCTGTTGTCTAGAGTAGACTGTGGGAATGCAGCCCACTCATGTGCTGTCCTTTCCTCCTCCACGTGGCAGGCTGTGTGAGGTTGGGACACAGACTAGAAAATGAATTATGTGGAAACACGTCCCCCCACCACGTGTTCACACCAACAGTTTGCATAGCACACAGGCAGTTACAAATCTATTCATTCAATTTTCTTCCTTTCCTTCCACTGCAGAGAACATGACTTGCTCAAATTTGTGTTCTTGACTTGCTTGGAATATATTACGTTCTCAATAAATGGTTGTGGATTGGATTAGTTCTATTGAGAATTCAAAAAGTATTAGTTATTTTGGCTCTGAGGGGAAAAACAAAATAAAACAAAAATCCTTAGTCAGCTGCAATTCAGCCAATTACATGGTTACACTTAATTAAGTCTTCAGTATGACTCCTTAAGGAATCAGAGACCAAACACAGATTCTATTCCAAAATTACAAAAGAGTATTTTATCATTTTTAGCTTGCTTTCTTTCCCTCTTCTCTCCCTCCCTCCCTCTCTCTTTCTTTTCTTTCATTCCTTTTCTCTTCTCTTCTTTCTTTCTTTCTTTCTTTCTTTTTCATCCTTCCTTCCTTCCTTTCTCTCTCTCTCTTTCTTTCTTTCCTTTCTTTCTTTGTCTCTCTCCTCTCTCTCTCTCTCCTTTCTCTTCTTTCTCTCTTTTCTTTTTGTTTTTTGTTGTCACTGTTCACTCCTCATAGAACTTGATCAAATCCGTGTCCATGGTTTAAAAAAAAAAACATAAGATTGTTGATCTTGTTTTCCTTTGAACTGCTTTCCTGGCGGCTTTAAATTAGGCCCAGGCCTGGAGCTACACTGTTTCTGATAAAGAACTCTTGGCACTGCCGTGTGTCTTTTGGGATCAGACCACATTCCTCAGTCCCCTGCCACCACTGTTCCTGCTCAGCCAATGGGTAAACCGAGTCACAACCTGGCTCCGGGTGTAGCCAAACCCTGGGCAGGGCCCCGGAGGTCTCTGTCTTATAGGGGTCAGGCAGCTGGGTGGACCCAGAGAGGGGACAAGGACAGGAAGCAGATGGCTAGCAGAGGGTGTGGAGACAGCGGGGTGGCCTCCTCAGGTCCCGGTACTGAGGGCCAGTTCCCTGTCCTGACCATCCAGCTCCCCACTATCTCCCGATACTTCCTCCACGGCCCCTTTATCCAGGACCTGCCCAGCAAGCTCCAGGGTCGCCCTTGCTGTCTCAACACCCACTGTCTGAAGAAGGGGAGCCCGTGACTTTGTGGGCCTCACGGGTGACCTTCTTCTCCCCTGGGTGGGAAGGCTTCCCCTGTGGTTGGGGCCCGTCTGCCCTCGGGCCCCTCCCCAGTCAGTGCTGCCCCTCCTACCCAGGACCCTGGCCCTGGCCCTGGCCCTCCCTCAGGTCAGCCATGCCCAGCCCCACTGCCACAGCGGCCACCCAGTCCTCAGAGCACAGAGCACAGAGCATGCGCTTTGCTGCCTTTTCGGAACTTTGGGGGCTTATCTTTCTTCCAAGATTGCTGCTCCTGTTCCAAGCAGACTAGCTCCTATATACTTTTCTGCCACTTTTTCAAGCTCTAATTATAGAATAGGGCTTTTTAAATGAAAAGGGCCTGGCTCTGGGGTGTAATTCTCCGAGCAGTTTGGGTCTGAAAGGACCCTCGCAATTAGAGGCCTCTCCGATGCAAGGGAGCGTCTCTGTGTCTCCCGAAAGTGAAGGGTCTGCATCTCTTCTCAGTGAAGGAAGGGGCGTCTCCTTGGGTAGACGAGGCACCTCCATGTGAGGACTGGCCCAGCAGAGGCCACAGGGCCTGGATCTGGCCAGCTCACCGGATCCCACACAAGAACCTCTGTCTCCAGTGAGAAGAGGTCTGGATGTGACTCTGGGGTGCGACTGGAGGGGTGCTGGAGCCAAGACCAAAGCCCCTCAGAGATCTTCTGGGCAAATGGCCCTTCCAGGCTCCCATGACCCCTGCAAGAGGCCTCTGTGTAGACACCCCCAGAACTAGCCACAGCCCCCATCACACCACCTCTCCTGCAGTACAGCCACTCCCTGCAGTTTAGGGGCCCCAGAATGCCCTCTCCCCTGAGCTCAGTCTCACCGCCAGGCCACTCCTCCCCAGCAGGACCTGGGGTCTGTGGCCTGAAGGCGTCACCTCCCCTCCCCAGTTCCCCTCTGAGCTCCCACTTCTTTGAGGGAAAGGGGGAAGACTCTTCCCAGTTCTCAGCAGGTCCACTTCCTGCTGAGCCCAGGAGGGAGTGTCCTGGAAGGGGACCCCAGGCCTCCTATTAGGAAGTGGATGCGACCCCTTCATCCAGCGAGGTGCTCTCTGAGGGCAGGGACCCTCCTAGCTCCCCAGGGCCCCAGGGCCTACGTGCAGGCTCCGCCCAGAGTAGATGCCCCTGAAACGAGCAGGTGGAGGCCTCCCGCAGGGCCTGAGAGGGACAGGAAGCCGCCCCTGCTACGCAGAACCACGTGGACCAGGCCAGCACCACCCCTGGGGAGGGAAGCTCAGAGAGCTGAACGCAGGGCCAACCTGCTGTCCAGACACCAATCACATCCCAGTCCTGGATTCGGAAGCTCACAGAATCTGGAGCTGCCAGGCTGCGCCCACCTGCAGTCAGCCTGGGAGAAGGGGAGGCTCGTCTTTGCGTGCACTGGCTATTTCTGGAAAGTCAGCAGAAACAAATTTGTTCTTTATGGAACAGTGAGGCCTCTGTGCTGCTTGACACAAAGTGACAGTAGGTGTCCTTTGGTAGGGGTCCAGGACGTGGGGACCAGGCCAGGGCAGAGGCCTTGTTGATTGTGAGCGTGAGGGTCCAGGCTCCCTCAGGAAAGCTGCATCTGGTCCAGGAGCGAGGACCCCTCAACTGGAGGGGAACCCTGCATGTACAGCAACAGTGTAGCCCAGACTAGGAGCCTGAAGGACACCTTGCACACGTGTTCTGCAAAACCTCGGTGCTTCTGATGACCCTACCCCTCTCTGTTCCCACTCCAGCCACAATTTCACGGGTCAAGGGGTCACACATTCACTGAATAGTGATGTGGGTACCTGGCGGGGAGGCCTTCTAAGCAGGGTTGGTAGTTGCCAAATGTTAACCCAATGGGCAGTGGCTTCCTGGAGCCCACCGTGCCAAATGACCCCCACCCGCACCCAGCTGACTGACCAGGCCGAGTTGTGACCATCAGAGCCTCTGGGCCACATGTCTGGACTGGAAGGGGGAAGGCTGTCGGTCGCATCCTTGGCAAGACCTCTATCCCGGGCACTCTGCCGAGCCTGGTGAACCACTCATGCTCATCTGTTCTCAGAAGGGATTTGCATGATACAGCCTGGGGCCCAGGGTCAGCTTCAAAGACACCCTTTAGCCCTTGCTTCCTGGATGACTTTCTGGTGGGGTCGTGGGGGGTGAAGCATGAGGACAGCCTCCTGTCCCCCTGCAGATGTGCAGAGGGACCCCCCCCACACACACATGATCACACTCTCAGGCACCCCTGCTCTGGCCGTGCCCAGGAGGGCAAACGAGGGCCAGGGTATTGGGAAGCCAGGCGTCCGTCATCTCCACTGCCCGTCTCACTGCTTGAAATGGCTGTTCCTCAGCCAGTGTCTGTCCAGCTCTTAAGTGTTCTGATCAAGGCAGGTGCCTGTCACTGAGAACAACCTAAAACCAAACCACAGGCTGGGGAGAAAGGCCCGTCTGTGGGGCCCCCACACCATGAGCGAGGCTGGCAGCCCGGCTAGGAGAGGCGCCTGGAGCGTGTGGGACCAGCCACACTTGGCGTCAGACCAACCCGGCGATTAAAACAGCTCTCTGGGTGAGAGGGGCATCCTAGAGGTTTTCTTCTTTTTCGAACGTCCCTCCCTCCCATCCCTGGAGGGGTGCTGACGTGCTGAGGTGGGCTCTGCTCTCCATCAAAGCTGCTGGGAAAGCTGTCCATCTTGGTTTGCAGAGCGTCCAAGGAAGGCACTGCTCTATTAAAAGCGATGAGAGCAGTTCCCAGGATCCATCCCGAATACACAATCCACCACCTCTCCACAAGGGGGCAGGGTTAGTTCTCCTTTCACGTCCAGTTACACCAGCAGGAGCTGGGAGCCGTGCAGGGGCGGGGCTGGGCGCTGACTAGGGCGGGAGAAAGGAAGAGTGCTCCAATAAGGCCGCAGGCAGAAGGGCTCGTCCCTTCCTGACCCCTCTGTTCCTGGGCCCAGGGCCCAGGGCCCAGGGCCTGCTCGGAACCTCTCCCGGGGGCAGTGAGTGCAGGGCCAGGGGACCGGGGGTGGGGGGTTATCGCCACGGGGAGTTGAAACACGCAAGTTTCCGACAGTGAGTTTCCTGACCAGCAGGGTAAGAGGCCTGGGACTTAGCTCCCTCCTGTAGAGGAGGGTGTGGTCTGTGCCTATGCGAGAGGTCTCTGATGGGTGGCTGTGGGGCTCCAGGGCTCCCCAGGCTCAGAACGAGGCATGCAGATGCCAACCCTGCCCCCTCCCGGCCCTGTGACCTGTGGCTGGGGCTCTAGCCTGTGCCCAAGGAGGGAGAAGGACCCCAGGCTGGGTTCTCTCCAGATGTGGGTGTGGCAGGCTGACTCAGGGCTGACTCTGTGACCTTCTAGGCAGGAGGCATTCGTCCTCGTAACAAAGATACGTGTCTGGACGGAGGCTTTCTTGGGTGGGTCTTTATAAAGGGGGCGGGATGGTCAAGACAGAAGAGAGGAGGCCAGGCAGCAGAGGCAGAGACAGAGGATGTGGCACTGCTGGCTGTGAGGGCAGAGGAGGGGACGCTGGAGGAGGCCGGCAGAGTCTCTCCGGGAGCCTCCAGAGGGGCCAGCCCTGCCGGCACCTGGAGAACTTGTCCTACAGAACTCAGTCTGCACTCTGGATTCTGGAACTGCAGGACAATAACCTTGTGTCATTTTAAGCCACTGAGATTGTGGTAACTTGTTACAGCCACTCTGAAGGCGTCCACCCCTAGTGGGGAACTAATCACTCATTTATCCCTGGAGAAGACGGTCAGTAGGTGAAACCAACCGACGTACAACCAAGCGGCAACCCGGGCCCAGCAACTGCGGGGTATGGTGGGATATGGTGGCTGTGCTCGCAAACGTGTGTGCCACGGGCTCCCACCTCCTGAGGGCAGGACTGCACCCCCGTGGTTAGAGCTCTCCTCTCTGCTCAGGAGAGGACCGAGGCGGATGTGGGTGCCTGATGTGACGACCGAACCCCAAGAGCTAATGTGTGACAGCAGCTAAGCACTGCTGATGGCATGAACACCTCTCCAAGAACTTTAAGAATCTGGAAGTTGTCTTCTTTAAAGTTAGGGATCTGAGTACTCGTTGCTCCATTAGGGACTGTCTGGGGAGCAGGAATTACAAAATTAAGTTAATCTCATCAGTTATCTCTTGCATCTATTGCAGCCATAGGTCTGTGAGCCCCTGAATTCCAGGGAGGCCCCAGCAGAGCCCCAGACACAGACCGGAGCTGTCCGGCACACACCTGCCGGTGCTTCCTGCCAGACCTGCTGGGGAGGGGTCTACGCACAGGCAGACCCTCCTCCACCTCACACAGAATCAAGGGTCCTGCACAGTCACACAGCTGGGTCACGTGACACTGGGAGGCTGCTTTCGCTCAGGAAGGACGTGTGAAGATAAACCATTTTCAAGCACTGCTGTTCTGAGGGCGGCTGCGCAGGGGCTCATAATCCGCCTCGGCAAGCTCTGCTTCACTGACCTGAATCCTTACACTGAACTCTGAATTTGTGGAAACAAGTGCCCATAAAAATACAGCTGTTTTAAAGGGCACGTTCATTGGTTTGCTTAAAATTGTAGTCCAATTAAGAGTCAATAAAATGCCAATAAACCTCCAGCTCTTAGGAGGGCAGGAAATGGTAGCACATTCTCCTCATCAGAGAAGAGACAGCTTTTTAGGGTGAGCGGATGATTTGTGCAGCACGGCCCCTCATGGAGCTGCTGACTCTGAGTTTAAGACGGTGGTCGTGCAGGAGGAAGGGCTTGGAAGTGATGGCCTGCAGGGCGTGCCAGCCTTCTCCAGGGTCCCCACCCCCAGGAAAGGTCCAGCACAGGGACTCAAGCCCACGAGACTGAGGAGGGGCTGACACCCCGAATTTGCACGGGGAAGCGGAGCGGGGAGGGGCCACTGCTGAACAGAATACAGTCATGATTTAAAACATTCACTTGGTTCCCCAGCACATGTTCAAAAACTCCTGCTGGGTCCCCCATGTTGTTTCCAGCAATAGAAAATCAGGGGTGGCCTTCTGGCAGCTCACATGCTGGTGGGGAGCACCTTAAACAGACTAATTGTATAACTTGTGACAAATAAATGTGGTGATGGCTGTAAAGCAGGGGACAGGATGAGGGGCCCAGGAGTGGGGGGCAGGAGGGGCGTCACCTCTCCAGTTGGGGGTCTGGGGTCAGGCTGAGTGAGGAGGGGTCACGTGACTGACGGGACAGAGCCCATTGCTTGCCGGTAGAGGGAGGAGCCCCAGCGAGGGGGCAGCATGTGCGAAGGCCCTGAGGCAGGAACTGCACGGTGAGCTTGAGGAGCAGCAGGGGAGCTGCATTGCAGGGGACCCCCCAGCATCAGCCTCTCAGGGTGGGCTCCCCCACAGCATTGACAATGCTCGTGCAGCCCTGAAAACAGAGTGGGTGGGAGCACACCACAAGGGGTGACAAGGGGTGCTGCTCCGAGTGCTCACGGGGACCTTCTCATAGCCCTGACCACCCTGCGGCGGGTCTGTGAGACCCACTCTAAGGAGGAGGGAAGTGGGGGTGTGAGCCGCCGAATGGTCCCCAGTCCTCAGTTAACAGGATCTGAACCCAGACCCGGATCACTGACGCCCGCAGCACAGAGTCACCAGCCTGTCTGCTTGAAGACTCATCACCTCGCCCCTCCCCTCTGAAGGGGAGCAGGGCTTAGGGAGCCACGCCTCATGTGCTCGCAGACGGCAGGGCTGGCTTGGGCTTCCTGCATCTCCGAGGACGTCGGAGGCTCACACCCCTGCACTCACGGTTCGCACACACTCAATATCTGGACACGCCCATCTCACACAGACTCACAGCTTGGGAACACAAACGTGGGCATTCACACCCATCACAGACCTCAGGAGGGCCCCGTCACTCTGGCCTGTTGGGACCAGAGGGTCCTTAATGAGCTCACCCAATGCAGACCACCTTCTCCTGGTGTCCAGTCTGGCGGTTAACACTGGAATCTGTCCCTGGGGGCCCTTCCTTCTCGCACAAACACGCTGTCTGACCTGGGTGCAAGCCGCAGCCTATGGGCAGGTGTGCTGTCCTGCCTGCTCTGCTGTGGTCTCAGCCCACATCCATGGCTGGGGCTGCCCTGCCCAGGGGGCCTTGCCTAGCTGGCTGGCAGCCTCCAGAAGGCTGAGCAAGCTGGCCCTGGGCTCCTGTCTACCCCGTCCCCCCACCACCCCAGATCCTGGAGAAAGTGCAGTCTGCTTTCTCATCTCTGAGCTGCCCTGAGGCTCACAAAGAGCCTGAGTGGCAGGCATGGTCAAGAGAACGTGGAGCCCTGATCCCTATTCCAAGGTCACCCTGGTGCAGACCAGGAAGGAACTGAGATTCCCAATACGTTCATGCATGGAACGTTCTCTCTCAGAATGGAGGGCTGCGCCCTGACCACAACCTGACTTTACTCAAGAACTCAAATCAATACATGTATTTAGTACCATTTCCTGAGCACTCACTACAGCTAATTGCTTCCCACACTTTCTATCAACTAATAGAGTATAATATGCCCCTCCTACCTTCCCTCTTGAGCAGAGGAACAGCAGACCAGAGGAGGGGGTTCAGGAAGCCTGGGCCAGGGAGGCACATCCCGGCTGCAGAGACAGGCGTCCATCAGCTCCCATGGGAACAGGTGGTGCAGGGGTGGCAAGTCTGCCGTGAGGGTAAGAGCCAGAACCCAGCCGGGCGGAGCGCCCAGCTTTCCCCAGCGGCCCCCTCCGTGCTCGGAGGTGTTGCTGACGGCCTGGCCTCCCTCCCATGCTTCATGGTAGTTCATATCTGTAATTTTGGTCTGACCAGTAAGGCAGTGGAGAAGATTTACAAGTTAAATTTCAAGGATCAGGAACAAGTGGGATCTGTGCAGAGCTTTGTGTGGACCTCTTCAAAGGGAAGCAAACCTTCAGGGGAAAAATCTGCACGCTGAAACAGACCAGCAGTTTCCTCTTCCCTGTGGGATTTGCATTAGCCAGTTTGTCCCCACAGCCCTGCCTGGGAGGTGGGACATTAATCCTGTCACTATTTAAAAAGTCGTCTCAGGATAAAGGGCGATATTGATGGGAATACAATCATAGTTGGAGATTTTAACACTGCATTAACATCACTAGACAGATCTTCCA